TGCAATTTAACGGCAATACGTTAAATTTTATTTTAATTTAAACCGAAATTTTTTAAAAAAAATAATTATTTTTTATACTTTTTATTATATATATTGCATTATTATACAAAAATTTCGAAAGCATTTTAAAAATTTTCGTTACCGGTTTTGCTAACGATATTAATTTATTAGCAATAAAAAATACCGCAAAAAATACGGCCCGTTTTTTAAAAACAATTTGGCCAAAATGCAAAGCAAAGCATAAATAATTAAATACGGCATAAAATTTAATAGCATTAAAACAAAATTTATCCATTTTAATAAAAACGAAAATACGCCCGTAATTTAATTTAGCAATACGGCAATAGCTTTTAACCAAACGGTTAGGTTTTTTAAAATTTAATTAAATGCTTGCTTTAATTTTAAAAAATATATTAAAAAAGCAAAAAGCAAACAAAAAAAGCAATAATTAGCATTTACCCGATTTATTTCGTTAATATAAAGCAATACGTTTGCAAAAAAAAAGCTTTTTTACAATATAATTTACCGTACGGCTTTGGCATACGGCGCAATAACTTTCCATATTGTTATACCGGCAACGGGCCGTTTTAAAAGCGCCGTTAAACAATTTTAAAAAAAATAGCGCGCGTATTTAAAAATTATTGCCGGGGCTTACAAAATTACTTTATTAGCCAATTTCGAAATTAAATGTTTTACCCCCCCAATTAATTTATATTTAAATAAAATGGTATTAAAAGCAAAAAAAAATGGAAAAAATTTGGAATAAAAAACGTAATCCAAACCGGTATTAATAAGGTAAAGCAATATTTTCAATAATTAAAGCACCGCAAAAAAACAAAAATATTACATTTATTTAATTTAGCAAGCAAAAACCGGTAAGCGCAAAAATGGAATTTAACGAAACCTTTTAAACCCAAACCCGGCCTCGCCCCGGCAATTATATAAATAAAAACCAAAATAAAAGCTAACGCTAAAGCATAAAAATTAGCAAACCAAAAGCAAAAAAAGGAAAAAAAAATGGTTTAAAATCGAATAAAACGCTAAATGCAAAAATACCCGCGTTATAACAATAAAAACAAACCCATTCCGGCCCGTAACCTTTGCAAATAAACCAAATTTTAACGGTTTAATATTAAAAGCATACCAAAAATTTACTAAAGCTTAAAACGTTATAGCCATTTAATTAAAAACGGAAAAATTGGGATTAAAAGCGTTTTTGTAAAATAAAAACGGTTTTAACGCGCATACGCCCCGTTGCCCGTACAAAACCGGGCAACAAAAAATAGCATTTTATTTGCTAACCGTATACTTTTTCCACGCTAAATAAAAAGCAAATTTGGGCTAAAAAAAATATAAATTACCGTAAAGCATATTTTAAACAATAGCAATAAAAAATAAATATTATTACCAAAACCGAAACGAATTAAAATTGCTTTTTTTTGCCCCCTTTTTTTTTATTAACCGCACGCTTAGCAATTAAAATAAGCAAATTTAACAATTTTAAAATGGTAAAAAGAAACGACCGGTTAAAAATGCAAGCACAAAAAAAACGAACCGCTTTAAATAAATAACCCAACGCCAAATTAATTACCAAACGCAAATACCCAAATTATTAACCCAATATAAAAAAGCTACGAATATACGCCCAACCGTACCTAACAATACCCAATAGCAAGCCCGGGAAAGAACCGTTGCTTTACATATTTTAGCGCTTGCGAATTTTTTCCCGCAACATTTCCAATATTTTGTTAAAAAACGCTAAATTGTTTTTATTATTAGCTTATTTTATAATTGCTATACAAAATTGTTTATATAAGTTAAAAAGCGCAAAAAAAGCAATAAAAATAGCACCGTTACCGGAAAAAAACTGGCATTTATTAATTGCTAAACTTGCTTAAAAGCGAATTTTTTAATTTTTAAATTATTAATAATTTTCGCAGCTTTGTTAATACGCAATAAAGCATTAAAAGCTTTTAAAGCGTAAAAAGCGAAAGCTTAAAGTACCGATATTATATTGCCGGAAAGGAACCGCATAAGCTTTAAACCGGCAACATTTGCACTTATAAAAACCCCGGCGCCGAAAAAAGGAAGTATCCAAAAACGGTTAAAGCTAAAGCTAGCACCGGTAAGCACCCCAAATTTATTAACTCCGTTTTTATTAATACGCCAAAACGTAAAAACCTTAATTACCAAAACGTTGTAAGTTTTTTAGCATTATTTTATACCGTTAACGAACCAGCAAATTACAAAAAGCCGATAAAATTAAAGCAATTTATTAAACATTTGCGGCAATTATTTATTTTAAAATAACGCATATTTTTAATTTTGGAAAACGTTTTATAATATTTAGCGAAAAGCCCGGCGGTAGCACGAACTTTTTTAATTGCAATAAAATAAAGCTAAAGAAAAATACGTTAATAACCCGGCTAAATAAAGGATAAAAAACAATTTACCGTTTTATACCAAACGTTTCGATTAATATAAAAACAATAAAATAACGCGTTCGAATTTAAAGCAATTAGCAAATTAGCAAATATAAAAATTACCCGAAATTACAAAAAAAACAAATTAATTTTAAAATAACAAACCGCAATTTTGCCAAACCGCGTTTTCCCGTTTTGCTTTTTATTTAAATTATTAATTAAGCAATTAACGCAACCTATATAAATTTTACGCGCAAAATTAAATAATTAACCAAAATGCAAATGGGAAAAAAACGAAAAAAGCATTTACGTTATTTGCTAAAAAAGTACAATGCTTTTAAAAATGGCCATTAAAGCGTTTATCGCTTTGCGGGTTATAAATTTATATTATTAAATATGTAATAAAATTAAAAAAAAAAACGAAACGAAAGCAAAAAAATAAAAATAAAATTAACAATGTAATTAGCATTAATTTACGCGTTATTGCTATTGTTATTATTATTGCTATTGTTAAAAAAGTTATTGCTATTATCGAACATTTTTACCGGAAAAAAACGGGTAGCGGAACGGGCAAAAAAAGCGATAAAAGCAATAGGATTGGAAAAATTGGAAGCAGCAAAACCGGATGCAAACTTTTTATCCGCCCAACCATTATTACGAACGCCGTTACCGCCGCAGCCACCGCGTTTGGCAAAATTGGTTTTAACTTTGCCTTTTTTTTGGGGAAAGCCGCTAATTAGCATTGCAACCAATTAAAAGTAAAGTTAAAAATGGCCGGAAATAAAATAAATAAAAGCATAGCCAAGCGTTAAAAAAAGCGCGTTAAAAAAGGATTAAAACGATAAAAAATAGCCGAAAGTAATGCGGGAAAAAAAGCGGTTAAAAAAACAAAGCGTTGCACCAAAAAAAAGTAAAAAAAAAAAGAAAAAAAAGGAAAAGGAAAAAGGAAAAAGAAAAAAATAAAAAAAACAAGCAAAATAAAAGGAAAGCACCGGTAAAAAAGCAACCTTTCCAAACCCTTCCAAAGCTATTACGCCGGCAAAAAAAAGCACAATTACCTTCCAAAATACAATTACTTACTTTTAACCCAATAAAATTACAAATATTTAAATAGCAAGCTTAAAAAGTACCGTTACCCTAACGGAAACGGCTAAATATTAACTTAATAAAAATACGTACGAAAACGTTAATAAAAACGGCCGTTAATATTTAGCCATAAAAAATAAAATAACGATATAAAAAAAGCTACGTTATACCAAATACAAACCGTACTTAAAAGCATAACGCAAAGCCGAAAGCGCAAAGCGCGGGCTTTACGCAACAATTACCCGGCTAGCTAAATTTTCGCCCATTTAGCAACAACCGCCGGAATTACCCCAAAACAATAGCGTTTTTTTAAAACCACATTTTTTACACGTTTTTTTTATAATTTTTTTTATATATTAATTTTTTATTTTTATTTTACCATTATACCTTTTTTAGCCAGGGGTACGAAAACGTTTTTTTGCCGAAGCATTTATTAGCAATCGAACGAATTACAATAAACGGAACCGGCAATTTAATACCAACCCGGCACCGGTTCGTAAGCGCAAAGTTTTTTTCCTTAAACCAAACCCAAAGGTTTCCTTTACGCAACATTTAGCAATAGCATTAAGGTTTTTTTTATAAATAAAATAAAGTATAAATATATTATTGTATTTATACGCTATTATGTTTATGGAAAAAACTTTAATGCTGCGGCTAAATACATGCAAATGGGGGAAAACCTTTGGGTTAAGCCTAAAAAAGAAAAACTTTATGCTTGCGTTTCCGCCTTTTTGGCAATGCGCTTCCGTAACGGTGTTAAACCGCTTTGGCTAACGTTTACTTTTTTCCACGCTCGATTGCTTGTAAGGGCTCCACTCGGGAATTAACCGTTTTCCCGCGTGCAGCCCCTTTTGCAAAGGGCCGACAAAGCCGCGTCCTGCTTGCTTGTGGTTGGTTGGTTGGTTCGTTATTCGATTTGCTAGGCTAGCCCTTTTGCCGGGGGGGTTACGAATCGGGTCCATTTCGGTTAAAAGGGTCCTTTGCCGGTTTTTTTGCTTAAGCTTGTCCAGGGCGCTTAGGGGGCCCTTCCACGCACTTAACCTGGCCCCTTTAGCACCCGGCCCTTTTCCTTCCCGTTACCGTTTTGTTGGCTTGGCCTTTAGCGTTTTGGGCTATTTGGGGCGGTAAGGTTAAAGTTGGGGCTAGGGCTGCAAAGGGGGTTAAAGCTTGTAGTTAATATTTAAAAAAGAAAGGGATGGTAATCGAATTCGTCGGTTTTGTGCGTGCATTCGTTGGGGTAAGGTTAGGCCCTTTTAAGGGCCTTCCCGTTGCCTCCTTTTTGGCCTAGCCTTCTGCATTTTGGGCCTTCGAAGTGGTGCCAGGAGGGGTTGGAAGGGGTTGGGGTTGGAGGGGTCGGAATCGGATCAATTATCGGGATCGTTGGTTTTTGTGCGTGGGTGAAAATCAACTCGGGCGAGGCCCGTTGGCGTAACGGCCCCTTTTTCTTTCCGGCCCAGCAAGGCGGGCGGCTAAGGAACAAAAAGTCCTTTGTGGTTTCGACGGGATTCGAACCCGTGGTCCTGGCGGGACCAGCCTGGTGCAGAGCCACTGCACCACGAGGCCAAAGTATAAATATATATAATTGTAACGTATTAACCCTTTTTTATGCTTAATTGTTGCACGCTACCTTGTAATTTTCCAAATTTTGGAATAAAATTAATTTTATATTAAACGAAATTTATCGTTTAAAAAACAAGCGTAAATATTTTCAGAAATAAAAAAAATCCTGGCAAAAGCGGTGCGTTTAAATGTTTTGTTGTAATTTGGATAATGTTAAAAAATTAAACCGGGTTAAACGGGAAAAACCTGCAAAAGTTATTATTCCAATGGTAATTAGCCCTTTTTTTTGCTTTAACACGATTTTTTATTTATTTTTTAATTAGGCAATTTTAAAGGTTAATTTTAATTTTAATTTGCTTGCTCTTTTTTAATTGCGTAAGTTGTAACTTTTTTAACAACCTTTTTAATTGTATGGCGCAATGGTAACGCGTTCGTTTTTGTAGCGGAAAGTTTTAAGTTTAACTCCCGGTGCAACTTAGTACTAAAAAAGCCGTAACCGTTAGCGGCGGCATTTTTATTACGCCCTTTTTTTTGCTTAAGCTTACTAGCTTATCCCTTTTAATATTATTAAGTTCAACATTAACTGCTTCCCCAACCTCGCAACGGGAAAACGCCATTAGCTACAGGGTTCGGAATTTAGTCAAAAGTCATTAGTCAAAGTTATGACTTTTTTAGTCAAGTCAGTCAAAGTCAACGGGATAACTAACTAATAACTGACTTATTATTTTTTTAACTAACTAAATTAACTTACCAAGTTATTTTAAGTCATTTTTTGCATAGGTTTTACATAATTTTCGTATAACTTTATTATTTTTTAACGTTATTTTAAAATAAAATTATTTAAAATTAACGTAAAAATATATAAAAAAAAATATAAAAGAAATAATAATAATAATAATAATAAAAATAATAATAATGAAAACGGTAAAAATAATAATAATTTTTGCTTTTTTATTTTTAATTTTATATTTAACTATTTATTTACTTATTTATTTACTTTTATATTTATTTATATATTTACGTACCTTTTTCCATATTTAAGTATATATTTAATTACCTATTTAATTAATTTTATACGTATATACTTTACTATTTATCCAAATAACTTAAAATAACTAGCTAAGTTACTTAAGTCAAGTTATTAGTTAGTTACTTCAAGTTAAAGTTACCGCGGTAATTAAATTAGTTAGTTAAAGTTAAAAGGGTAACTTAACTAACTAACTAAATTCCGAACCCTAATTAGCTACAACAAATTTAACATTAAATTTAAACTTTTCGCCCCCGGTTCGCTACCGGACGTATGTCCGCGCGCGAGCGCGCTTCCGGCGCGGCTGCTAGCGGCGCTAGCAGCCCCGTAAGCGACGGAACGGTTACCAACCGCCCCGAAGCCAACAACAATACCATTATAACCAACGCCCCCAACCCTTTTCCAACGCGCGCTAGCATTGCAAATTTAAAAAACCAATTAATTAAAAAACTAAAACTTTTCGTGCCCCCCGGTAATACCAAATTAATGCTTAAAATTGTAAAAAAATAAACCAAAATTGTAACAAACGCGTTAAAAACGCGGATTTGCAACCTTTGCAATCGCATGTTTAACCAATTTTATATAATAAAGAACGAAATTATTGCTAAAATACGCAACGTTTGCAAATAAATTACCAATTACGCTTTGATTTTGGCCGTTGGGCTGCCGCAAAGCGGTTAAACCGGCGGTTACCCAATTACAATCCGGCTTTATGCGTTTTTTATTACTGGCCCCCCCCCCCCCCCCCGAAATATATTTCCGCGCGCACCGAGCGAAAAATTACGATTTTAACCGAAAACGTACCCCCCGAAATTGCAAATTGCATATCCGTTAAAATTACAATTACGTTGGTAAAAAAGTTCGGCAATAACGTAAAAGCAATTTGCAAGCTTCCAAACGGTAACGTAATAATATTTTTCCATATAATTATAACCAAATATACGAAAAATACCGTATAAATTGCTAAAATGTTTGAAAATAAAGCAATATACCAAACCCAAACGTATAACGCGGTAATTAAAAGCATTTAATAAAATGACGCTAACAATAACAACGCATTTTTACAAAAGTTTAAAATGCAAAATATTAAAGCAAAAATTAATTTTATTTACGTATAAAACGCCCGGCATTTTAAAAAATACGCTACGGTATTAGCCCAAATTATATCCCCCGCCGCAACCCAAACCGCATGCAATAACGGCTTCGTATTTAAAAGCGAAATTTTTAACGTTAAACCGTTTGCAACGGGGGCAAAAACCGCTTAATGCTTTAAATGCTATAAATAAAAATATAAATCGAAATTTTGCAAAATAACGGCTTATTGCTTACATTGCGCCGGGCCGCTGCATAGCAACGGCAAAAAAAAGGAACTTTTATGCCCTTTTTATAGCAATTAATTTATTGCATAAAAATGCAAACCGAAATGTTGCAATTGCGGAAACAATTACCCGGTTTTTTAACAAACGTGCCCCGTAATAAAAAAAGAAATTAAAAAAGCTAAAAGCGCATTTTTAAACCAATTAAAACAAGTTGTTTTAAAAACGGGGGGAAAGCGCGCACCCCGCCCGAACCAAACCGGCTAACCGGCCGCTTTCCTTTTTTCCGCTTTTATCCGCCCCCCCGGGCCCCCCTTAACCGTTATATAAAAAAAATAACGATTTGTTCGATTTAAAATTGCTAACGAAACGCAAACGAAACGGTTTTTTATTAAAAGCAATAAAAACAAAAAAAAGTTCCCAAACAAAAAAAAAGTAAGCAAATTACGAAGGTTTTGCAATAAAAAAAATAACAAGCTTTTTTAAACCGGCTTTTACGATAAACCGCTATTTTACAAACCCAAATTTCGCTTTTTTCGGCCCCAATAAAATCGGAAAAACGCTTAAAACCCGAACCGTTAACAATTCGATAGCACCCAATAACTTTACAACCGTTACCACCAGCACTTACTTTAACTTTGCTCCCGTTTTTAGCGCCCCCGTTTTACCCCCGTTACAACCGCCGGCGTTCCAACCAACCCGGTTCGGAACCGCATCGAATTTGTTTAACCCCCTAGCAACCGGAATTACCTTTACTTTTAACCAATTAATTAATAACAATAATAACGATTTATAAAAATAATACGCATATTATATTAAAATATATATATAAAAAAAGGAAAAGGCAATTTTTTTTTATAGCAATAAATAATACAATATTATTGCTATCCAAAAACCGGAGCGCAACCGGTACGAAAACCTTTCGAAACCGTACGGTTGCAATTACAAATTAATTTATTACCAAAAATCCAATTCCAACGCAATACTTTACGTACATAATCGCTTTGCCCCAAAATCGTAAACCGCCCGGTGCGGTTACAATTAAGCGTTGGTTATAATTATTACGCTAAAAAGCCCATTTAAAATTTATTCGATATATTTACCAAATTTTAAAGCAAAACCAAATTAAATAACATTTTTTATTACAATTGCTATTTATTTAACCCAAATATATACAATCCTTACAAATAATTTTAACCTTTACTATTTAATATAAAATTTATACAATAAATATAACGCAAAAAGCAAAACTTTTTTTAAAATTAACACGCTGCAAACGCTTTGTATTAATAACGTTATACGGGAAAATTACGAAAACGAAACGAAAAAAACGAAATAGCACAATTAATTACGTTTAAGCATTAAACCAATTTGCAATAAAATATTTAAAATAAAACAATACGATAAAAAAATTTAACCATTTATTTTAAATTTTCCACGTTTTTTTTTAAACCGCAAGCAATTTAATACTAACAAATAATAAATTGGAAATAAAAAAACGTTAAACTTATAAAAAAGCTTGCGAAATTTAAAACGAAAATGGTTTGTAAATTAATAACGATTGGGGATATGTAAAGCGCCGAAAATATAAATAAAAAAACGAACAAATTGGTGCAACAATTAACCCAATTTGCGGATTAGCCAGCTTTTTAACAAAAGCCAAGCCCTTTTAACAAACGCGCTTTTTACTAAACAAATAAATTAAACGATTTACGAAAGGAAACGAGCCGATTATAACGCGCATTTACCAAAAACAAAATATAAATAGCATAAAAAGCGCATAAAGCAGCGAATAAAGCATTTATAAAAAAAACGCTAAATAATAGCTAACCATTAAAAAAACGTTATATTTGCGGCGGGATAAAACATTAAAAAAAACGGCGCGCTTTAAAAGTTCGAAAAATGGGCCCGTTTAAAAAGCTTTTAAAAGAAAACCCAAACCGGTTATTAAATTTGGTTAAAACCGGAAAAAACCCGGATACGCCGCGCAACCATTAAAAAAAAGTTAAAATTTTGTTAACCAAATTTTTCCCAAACCCGCTAACCGATATATTAAACATTAGCAAAACGACCTTTTAAACCCATACGTTCCTTAACCCTTTTTAAATGCTTACATTAATAACGCCGTAGGACATTTTAGCGGTAACGGGCCGCATTAAACCGTAAAAAGCAACGGGTTAAACCCATTTTCCGAACGGTTTATTTAAAGCCGTTAAATACCCGGGCGCAACCGCTATTGCAAAATTTGCTAACGCAACGATTATTACAAGCTATTTTCCGAAACGCTTTAAAAAAGCCCTTACGGTAATGCTACCCAAACCAAACAAAACCACCGAAAAAAAAACAAACCGGGGAATGGAAATTTATCGTTTTATTATTGTTAATTTTAAAAGCAATTAAATTAATTATAGCATAATAAATTGCAAACAAAACGGAAAAAAAAAGCATTTTTTTTAACGGCCAAATGGGCAACCAACGGGTTAAAAGCACGGAATTAGCAATTTAAAAAGTAATAAAAGCTATTATAATAGCATAAAATTACGGCGTTACCGCGTTATTGCTACAATTTAACCTATTCGGGGCATTTAATACCGTTAACCATTTCCGGTTGCTAAATACGCTAAAAAAGCGCGGTTTTTTATTACCAATCGTTAAGTAAATGCGAAAGTAGCTAGCAAATAAAATTGCCATTTTGCAATTTAACGGCAACATTTCGAACCCGATTTTAATCCGAACCGGAATTTTTTAAAGCTTTTTTTTATTTTTTATCCTATTTATTATATACATTGCATTGCTATACGAAAATTTAAAAAACATTTTAAAAACTTTCGTTACCGGGTTTGCTAACGATACCAATTTATTAACAATAAAAAATACCGCAAAAAATATAATTCGGCTTTTAAAAATAGCTTAGCCCAAATGCAAAGCGTAAATAGCTAAATACGGTATAAAATTTAATAGCGCCAAAATAAAATTTATTTACTTTATTAAAAACGAAAACCCGTTTGTAATTTAATTTAGCGATATAACGGTTGCTTTTAATTAAACGGCTAAATTTTTCGGGGTTTAGCTAAATGCTTGCTTTAACTTTAAAAAATACGTTAAAAAGGCAAAAAGCAAATAAAAAAGGCAATAATTAGCTTTAACCCAATTTATTTCGTTAACGTAAAGCAATACGTTTGCAAAAGAAAAGCTTTTTACAACGTAATTTGCCGCACGGCTTTGGCATACGGCGCAATAGCTTATTATATAGCTATACCGGCAGCGGGCCGCTTTAAAAACGCCGTTAAATAGCTTTAAAAAAAATAGCGCGCGTATTTAAAAACCATAATTAAAGCGTATAAAGCTACTTTTTTGGCTAATTTCGAAACCGAATATTTTATTCCTTTAATCGATTTGTATTTAAACGAAAAGGTATTAAACGCAAAAAAACAATGGGAAAAATCCGGAATAAAAAACGTAATTTAAACCGGTATCGATAAAATTAAACAATATTTTTAGCAATTAAAAAACCGAAAAAAACGAAAGTATTACATTTTTTAAATTTAACGGGCAAAAACCGGTAAGCGTAAAAATGAAACCCTTTGGGCCTTTTTAACTTTAAGCCCGGTTTTGCCCCGGCAATATTAATAATACGAATAAAAATTAAATTAAAAACTAACGTTAAAGCATAAAAATTGGTTAAACGAAAGCGCGCAAAAAAAAGGAAAAAAATGGCTCGAAATTAAATAAAACGCTAAATGCAAAAATACCCGCGCCGTAACGGCAAAAGCAAACCCATTCCGGTTTGCATTTTATGCAAATAAATTTAATTTTTATAATTTAATATTAAAAGCATACTAAAAATTTATTAAAGCTTAAAACGCTATAGCCATTTAATTAAAAATAAAAAATTAAAATTAAAAGCATTTTTATAAAAATAAAACGTTTTCGATACGCATACACCCCGTTGCCCGTGCAAAAACTGGCAAAAAAAAAACCGGCATTTTATTTACTAACCAAATGCTTTTTTTACAACAAATAAAAAGCGGGATCGGGCTAAAAAAACGCGGGTTACCGTAAAGCTTATTTCGAAAAATGGCAATAAAAAACAAAAATTAATACCGGAACTAACGCAAACCAAAACAACCCCCTTTTCCCCCCCTTTTTTTGTTAACCGCACGTTTGGAAATAAAAACGGGCAAATTTAACAATTTTAAAGTGGTAAAAAAAAACGACCGGCTAAATACGCAAATACCAAAAAAGCGCGTTGCTTTAAATAAATAACCCAACGCCAAACCAACCACCAAACGCAAAAATTTAAAAAAAAAGCTACAAATACATACCTAGCCATATTTAGCAATATTTAACCGCAAGCCCGGGAATAAACCGTTACTTTACATGCTTTAACGCTTACGAATTTTTTCCCGCAACATTTTTAGCATTTAATTAAAATACGCTAAATTGTTTTTATTATTAACTTGCGGCATAACCTTTATGCAAATTTACTTACGGAAAGTTAAAAAAAATAAAAAATAGCAAAAGCAATATTGTTACTAACAAAAAGCCAGCATTTACTAATTATTAAGTATATTTAAAAACAAGCTTTTTAACTTTTAAATTATTAGCAATTTCCGTAGCGTTATTGGTACGAAACAAAGCGTTAAAAGCTTTCGAAACGTAAAAAGCGAAAGTTTGGGGTATTAATATTATATTGCCAAAAAAAAACCGTATAAATTCCGAACCGGCGGCATTACCGCTTAAAAAAGGAATTTTAATACCGAAAAAAAAAGCATACGGAAATGGTTGGTACCAAAACCAGCACCCGTTAGCATACCGGATTTGTTAAATCCGTTTTTGTTAATACGCTAAAACGTAAAAACCTCGAAAACCAAAGCGTTATACGCTTTTTACCAACCGTTAACGAACCGGTATAGCATAAAAAACCGATAAAACCAAACCAATTTACCAAACATTTGCAACAATTACTTAATTTAATATAAAATAAGTTTTTAACCGTAAAAAGCGGTTTGTAATATTTAATAAAAAGCTTGGCAATAATACGTGCTTTTTTAATGGCAATAAAATAAAATTAAACAAAAATATGTTAGCAATACATTAACAATACAATTTAATACAAAAACAAAAAACAATTTACCGCTTTATACCGAACGTTCCGGTTAGCATATAAACGATAAAATAACGCGTTCAAATTTAAAGCAATTAATAAATTAGCAAAAACGGAAATTACGCGGGAATATAACAAAAACGAACCAATTTTAAAATAATAAATAGCAAATTTGCTAAACCGCTTTTTTCCGCTTTGCTTTTTATTTGGGCTATTGGCTAAATAACCAATATAACCAATACAAATTTTACGAACGGAATTAAATAATTAATTAAAACGTAAGCAAAAAAAAAGCAAAAAATTATATACGTTATTTTTTAAAAAAGCACGATACTTTTAAGGATAACCGTTAAAACGTTTATTGCTTTGCGAATTATAAATTTGTATTGCTAAATACGCAACGTAATTAAAACAAAAAAAAAGCACGAAACGAAAACGAAAAAGCAAAGGAAAAACCAATAACGTAATTAGCGTTAATTAATGCATTATTATTACCGTTGCCGTTATCGTTAAAAAAATTGTTATTAACAAGGACAACCGCCGGAAAAGGACGGGAAACGGGGCGGGGCAAAGCAACAATAAAATTGGAAAAAGGTAAAATTGCAAAGCCAAAAAAACGAAAAAAACCAAACGAAAACCTTTCGTTACTTTAATTATTATAAGCGCCGCTAACGCCGCGGCCATTACGTTTGGTAAAATTGGCTTTAATTTTAGCCTTTTTTTAAAAAAAAGCAAATATAACGGCAACCAAAATAAATTAAACGCAACGAAATTAAGCAAGGTTGTAAAAGTAAAAAATAAGCTAAAAAGCGCGTAACGGAACGGAAACAAAAAGGAAAAGGTGGTAATAATTAAAAAGGATTGTTACGGCGTTAAAAAAAAGAGCCGGCAAAAAAAAAGGTTGGAATTAACGAAAAAAAAAAGGAAAAAACAAGCATAATTAAAAAAAGGAACGAAAAAGCAAAAACCTTTTCAAACCTTTCCGGCGTTATTCCGCCGGAAGCAAAAAGCACGATTATTTCCTAAAACGCAATTACTAACTTTAATAAAGCCATACGTACCCGGATAGCTATATACGGAAGCACCGTTACCCTAACGGATACGGCCAAACATTAATTTAACAAAAATACGAACGAAAACGTTAACAAAAACGGTTATTATTACCAAATTATTTAAGGCAAGCCAATAGGAAAAAAGCGGAATAATAATATAAAACCCGTTATACCAAACTGGAAATTAACCGTACCCGGAAATACAACGCAAAATTAAAAACGCAACGCGCCGGCCCCGCGCAATAACCCGGATAGCCAAACCACCGTTTATACGCAACGAACGCTAAAACCACCCCAAAGCAATAGCGCTTTTACAAAACTACATTTTTTACATGTTTTTTTTAAAGTTTTTTATATATTAATATTATACCTTTACTTTACAACCCCTTTTTGGCCGGAAGGTACGAAAACGCTTTTTTGCCGGAGCATTTATTAACAATCGAACGGAGTATAGTAAACGGCGCCGACGGTTTAACACCGAACCGGCACCGGCGCGCAAGCGCAGGGTTTTTTTTTTAAAGCTACACCCAAAGGTTTCCCCCACGCAATACAATAGCAATAGCATTAAGGTTTTTCCCATAAACAAAACAGCGTATAAATAAATAATATTATTAAATTTTTCTTTTTTTGCCCGCTAACTTTTTCCAAATTTAAAGCGTTTTACAAGTTCCAAAGCTATTGCTAACTTTTTTCCAAGCAATACTTTTGCAAAGCCTTTTAGCAATTCCCAAAGTTTGTTGCGTTTTTTTTTATATGTTATATTCCTTTTTTTAACTTTTTTATTTAATAAGGCATTGCTGCTTACGGTAATGCGTTTTTTCGTTTAACATAATTTGAATTTCTTATTCCTGGTTAAAATTAATTTTTACTAATATGGTGCTTTTTGGTTTGGCCAAAGCCAGCTTTAGCAAAAAAACGTAAAAACTTAAATGGATTTGCATGGTTAAAAATAATTAAAATTTATAATTAATTGGAAAAATAATTTATTAACCCGGAAAAGTCCGAATTTCTTTTTATCCAATTTATTGTTTAACCTTTTTGTTTTAATATTAATGCGCAAAAATTAAGCGTTGTTTCCTTTTTTAAAAGTTGGGTTTTTAAAAAAAAAATTGTTGGCTTATTTAGCTATGCGCTTGCGCAATACTTCGAATTTAGCTTAAAGGTTTTGGCATAGTTTGGTAATTTTTTTAATTTCCAATTCCGTTATTAAACCCTTTTTTAAGCTTTTTATACGCCGTAAGCGTATATTTATAATTAGCGGAAAACGGCGTTATTTTTGTATTGTCGTGCATTAAGCTATTGTAAGCAAATTAAGCAATAAGCAATAATTATTCCTTATTAATTTATTTGTAATTAACGTAATGTTGTAAGTATTGCTTTATAATTTAATTCGTTCGTTCCGTTTATCCATTCTTTTAAAAATAATATATTATTAATAAAGCGTATTTTGCTTCGAAAAAGCTTGTAAAGGCTTTCCAAAATTTGCTTGTAAATAATTTATTTCGGTTTGTAATTAAACGCTACGAAATGCCGTAATTTGCAATTACATACCGGAAAAAAGCGTAAGCTATTTGCGTAGCATTATTGCTTTTTTGTATAGTAAATATAAAACGTATTTAGTAAGCTTATTTATTAATATTAATTATTAATATTAATATGCTATTATATTAAATGCTTATTATTGGCTTTTTAAATTTAAAAAATTTAATAACAAAATTTATAATAACTTTTTATTATGCTTTACTAAGCGCTAGCAACGGTTAAAGCAACCCATAAAAAAATGCTTGTTAAATTTAGTTTTGGCAGAAATTTAACAATCTTTTATTGCTTTTTATACTTTAGCTTGGGTTTTGGTAAACTTATAGTATTGCTAAAGCTTTTTCCAAATTTTTATTACCTTTTGGTATTTATAAGCCGGTAGCCCGTAAATTTTAAGAATTTAACCGGGGTTTAATCCTTTAGCTTAATTATTTTAACTAATGCCCGTTAAATTGGAATTAACGATCCTTTTAATTTATAAGCCAAAAGCGTTTTGGTTTTTTCCAAAGTTTTAACCTTATGGCTAACCCTTTTGCTTAAAGCGTTTGCTTTGCCGTTTTCCAAATTATTGTGGTATACAATTTTAATGTTGTAATTTTAAACGTATTCGTTCCAACGGGTTTGCCATTTGTTAAAGTTTTGGTTAATAATTTAATGCGCTAAATTTTTATAATTTGTATATATTACAACTTTATAATTAATTTTATACAAATACATTTTTTATTTTTTTAAAGCTTAAATAATAACCAAAAGCTTTTTATCGTAAATTAGGTAATTTAATTTTGGTTTTTTTAAAAAAAAATTAAAAAAAACGCAAAAATGCAACTTTTTTGCTCTTTTTTTTAATTAAATTATTTATTTATCGCGTAATTTAACGCATTTATTTTTATTTCGAATAATTTATCGGGGTTTAAAATAACCAATACTAACTTTTTAAAAATTGCATTTTTAAATTGTTCGAAAGCGTTTTATTTTCGTACTTTTTAAAAAAATTAAATATTATTTTTGGTAAAATTGCTAAGAAATGCAATTTTATTGTTAAAACTTTAAATAAACCGTTAATAAAAGTTTAAAAAGGTTAAAAACGCCCGTACATTTTGTAAGTTACTTAATACAAGCTAATTATTAATTTATTCCATTTTGGCTTTATTTATTTTAATTTTTTTTAATGTAATAACGAACCCGAAAAATACTATTTTTTAAATATGCTATATATATTTGTTCGCGTTAATTAAAAGCTTTGCTTTTTAAAGTTTTTGCAATATTTAATACATATGCTATTTGTATAATTGCTAAATAAAAAGCAAAAAAAAACGTTTTTTGCCCGCGCGCAATAACAATAACGACCAAACAAAAAATTAAAGCCATTACGAAAACCGGAAACGCCAATTTGCTTAAAAGCTAAGCGGGCTCGGTAATACCCCAACGCGCCGTTGCAGCGCCAATGGAAAAGGTAGCAAGCTTAAACTAATCGAAATACGCAATACGCAATGGGAATTTTACAAATTAGCAATAACCGAAATAAAAACCAAATGCAAGCACGAAAAAACCTTAATTAATTATTGTAACCAGGGTTGGGAATTAAGTTAGTAAGTTAAGTTATTACCATGACTTTAACTTACTAAAAAAGTTATGGCGGTAACTTTAACTTACTATAACTTACTAATAACTCACTTAAATAACTTAGCAAGTTACATTAAGTTATTTGGATAAATAATAAAGTAAATTGGTATAAATTTAATTAAATAAATAAGTAAATATATTTGTAATAAAATACGTAAGTACGCAAATAATTTATATATATATATATTTATACTGTTGGAACAGCATTGCGGTGCGCGTGCGATCCGGAAAGGGAGGTTGTTACAAGAGGCTCTGGGATCCTCCGGATCCCGCATGGGCCAACTCTATCTGCCTTAGGCAGAGCAGGGAACCACCCTTTGGGTGATTGTCCCTGCGCATATAAGGGGCAATCCTGTGCCCTTCTTTTGGCAGATAGAGTCCTTCCTCCGAGTGCACAATAATAGGATTTTCCCCAAATCATTGAAATCGTTGTTCACCTCAACCAGGAGATTTCCGAGCCTTAAAACAGGAGTACCAAACTCCTACCAACATATACTTTGTTTTATTTATGGGAAAGACCTTAATGCTATTGCTAAGTGTTGCGTAAGGGAAACCCTTGGGTTTGGCTTAAAAAAAAAAACTTTGCGCTTACGAACCGGTGCCGGGTCGGTATTAAATTGCCGGTTCCGTTTATTATAATCCGTTCGATTGTTAATAAATGCTCCGGCAAAAAAGCGTTTTTATGCCCCCAGCCAAAAAAGGTATAATGGTAAAATAAAAATGGGAAATTAATATATAAAAAAAATTATAAAAAAACGTGTAAAAAATGTGGTTTTAAAAAAGCGCTATTGCTTTAGGGTAATTCCGGCGGTTACCGTTAAGTAAGCAAAAACTTAACTAACCGGGTGGTTGTTACGTAAAGCCCGCGTTCCGCGCTTTCGGCTTTACGTTATGCTTTCGGGTACGGTTCGTATCCGGTATAACGTGGCTTTTTTTTGTATTGTTATTTTATCCTTTGTAATTAGGTATTGGCGGCCGTTTTTATTAACGTTTTCGTACGTATTTTTATTAAATTAGTGCTTAACCATTTCCGTTAAGGTAACGGTGCTTTTTAAGCTTGCCATTCGGGTATTTATGGTTTTATTGGGTTAAAAGTAAATAATTATATTTTGGAAAGTAATTGTGCTTTTTTTTGCCGGCGTAATGGTTTTGGGAAAGTTCGAAAAGGTTGCTTTTTTACCGGTGCTTTCCTTTTATTTTGCTTATTTTTTTTACTTTTTTCCTTTTTCCTTTTTTTTTACTTTTTTACCTTTTTTTCCTTTTTTTTTTTAATGCAACGCTCCGTTCTTTTTAACCGCTTTTTTTTCTGCATTGCTTCCGGTTATTTTTTATTGCTTTAATCCTTTTTTAACGCCTTTTCCAACGCTTAGTTATGTTTTTATTTATTTTATTTCCGGCCATTTTTAACTTTATTTTTAATTGGTTGCAATGCTAATTAATAGCTTTTCCCAAAAAAAAGGCAAAACCAAAGCCAATTTTGCTAAACGAGGTGGCCGCAGCGGTAACGGCGTTCGTAATAATGGTTAAGCGAATAAAAAATTTGCGTTCGGTTTTACTGCTTCCAATTCTTCCGATCCTATTGCTTTTATCGCTTTTTTTGCTCGTTCCGCTGCCCGTTTTTTTCCGGTAAAAATGCCCGATAATAGCAACAATTTTTTAGCAATAATAATAACAATAATAACGGCAATAACGCGCAAATTAACGTTAATTACAATATTAATTTTTTAATTTTTTTTGCTTTCGTTTCGTTTTTTTTCCATTTTAATTTTATCGTATATTTAACAATATAAATTTATAATCCGCAAAATAATAAATGCTTTAACGGTTATTCCCAAAAGCATTATGCTTTTTAGCAAATAACGTAAATATTTTTTTCGTTTTTTTCCGTTTGCGCTTCGGTTAATTATTTAATTTTGCGCGTAAAATTTGTATAAATTGCGTTAGTTACTTGGTTAATGGTTTGGGTAAAAAGCAAAACGGGAAAATGCGGTTTAGCAAAATTGCGGTTTGTTATTTTAAAATTAATTTGTTTTTTTTGTAATTCCGGGTAATTTTTATATTTGCTAATTTGCTAATTATTTTAAATTTAAACGCGCTATTTTGTTATTTTTGTGCTAATCGAAACGTTTAGTATAAAGCGGTAAATTATTTTTTTTTTTTGGCCGGGTTATTAACGTATTTTTTCCTAGCTTTATTTTGTTGCAATTAAAAAAGCTTGTGCTACCGCCGGGCTTTTCGCTAAATATTACAAAACGCTTTTTAAAATTAAAAATATGCGTTACTTTGGGTTAAATAATTGTTGCAAATGTTTGGTAAATTGCTTTGGTTTTATTGGTTTTTTATAATTTGCCGGTTTGTTAACGGTATAGTATAATGCTAAAAAGCTTACAACGCTTTGGTTGTTAGGGTTTTTACGTTTTAACGTACTAATAAAAACAAATTTAACAAATCCGGAATGCTTACCGGTATTGGTTTTGGCTTTAACCGTTTTTAAATGCTTTTTTTTTAGCGCCGGGGTTTTTATAAGTGCAAATATTACCGGTTCAAAGCTTATACGGTCCTTTTCCGGCAATATGGTATTAATGCTTTAAGCTTTTGCTTTTTACGTTTCGAAAGCTTTTAACGCTTTATCGCGTACCAATAAAGCTGCGGAAATTGCTAATAATTTAAAAGTTAAAAAGCTTGCTTTTAAGCAAGCTTAGCAATTGGTAAATGCTAATCCTTCCCCGGTAACAATGCTATTTTTATTGCTTTTTTTGCGCTTTTTAATTTATATAAGCAATTCCGTATAGCGGTTATAAAATAAATTAATAATAAAAACAACCTAACGTTTTTCGATAAAATATTGGAAATGTTGCGGGAAAAAATCCGCAAGCGCTAAAACATGTAAAGCAACAGTCCGTTTCCGGGCTTGTTATTAAATATTGCTAAATACGGTTGGGCGTATATTTATAGCTTTTTTATATTGGGTTAATGGTTTGGGTATTTGCGTTTAGTAATTGGTTTGGCGTTAAATTATTTGTTTAAAACGGTTCGTTTTTTTTATGCTTGCGTTTTTAACCAATCGTTTTTTATTATTATTTTAAAATCGTTAAATTTGTTTATTTTAATTGCTAAATATGCGGTTAATAAAAAAAAAGGGGGCGAAAAAAAGCAATTTTGGTTTGTTTTAATTTTGGTAATAGTATTTATTTTTTGCTATTATCGTTCGAAATATGCTTTGCGGTAATTTTATTTTTTTAGCCCGAATTTGCTTTTTATTTGGCGTGGAAAAGGCATACGGTTAACAAATAAAATGTTATTTTTCGTTGCCCGGTTTTGTACGGGCAACGGGGCGTATACGCGTTAAAACCGTTTTTATTCCACAAAAACGCTTTTAATTCCAATTTTTCCGTTTTTAATTAAATAACTATAACGCTTTAAGCTTTAATAAATTTTTAATATGCTTTTAATATTAAACCGTTAAAATTCGGTTTATCCGCAAAGGTTACGGGCCGAAATAAATTTGCTTTCGTTGCTATAATGCAGGTATTTTTGCATTTAGCGTTCCATTTAATTTTAAACCATTCCTTTTTTTTCCTTTTTTTGCTTTCGGTTCGTTAATTTTTATGCTTTAGCATTAGCTTTTATTTTAATTTTTATTTGTATAATTACCGGGGCGGGGCCGGGTTTAAATTCGAAAGGTTTTATTAAATTTTATTTTTGCGCTTACCGGTTTTTGCTTGCCAAATTAAATAGGTATAATATTTTCGTTTTTTTCGCGGTACTTTAATTATCGAAAGTATTGCGTTACTTTATCGGTACCGGTTTGAATTACGTTTTTTATTTTAAATTTTTTCCATTTTTTTTTTGCTTTTAATACCTTTTTATTTAAGTATAAATTAATTGGAAAAATAAAACATTTAATTTCGAAATTGGCTAATAAAATAGCTTTGTAAGCTTTAGCAATGGTTTTTAAATACGCGCGCTATTTTTTTTAAAATTATTTAACGGCGCTTTTAAAGCGGCCCGTTGCCGGTATAGCAATATAAAAAGCTATTGCGCCGTATACCAAAGCCGTACAGCAAATTACATTGTAAAAAAGCTTTTTTTTTGCAAACGTATTGCTTTGCGTTAACAAAATAAATTGGGTAAATGCTAATTATTGCTTTTTTTGCTTGCTTTTTGCTTTTTTAATATATTTTTTAAAATTAAAACGGGCATTTAACCAAACCTTAAAAAATTTAACCGTTTGGTTAAAAATTACCGTTATATTGTTAAATTAAATTACGGGCGTATTTTCGTTTTTATTAAAATGGATAAATTCCGTTTTGGTGCTATTAAATTTTATGCCGTATTTAATTGCTTATACTTTGTATTTTGGCTAAATTGCTTTTAAAAAACGGGTTGTATTTTTTTCGGTATTTTTTATTGCTAATAAATTAATATCGTTAGCAAAACCGGTAACGAAATTTTTTAAAATGCTTTTAAAATTTTCGTACAATAATGCAATATATATAATAAAAAATATAAAAAATAATTTTTTTTTTGGGAAATTCCGGTTCGAATTGGGATAAAGTCCAACGTATTGTTATTAAATTGCAAAATGGCCGTTTTATTTGCTAATTACCCTTTTACCCATTTTATAATTAGTAAAAAAAAGTTATGCTTTTTTAACGTATTTAATAATCGTAAGTAATTAACGGTATTAAATGCTTTAAATAAATTAAATTATAATAACAACGCGGTAACGCCGTAATTTTATGCTATAATAATAATTTCCATTACTTTTTAAATTGTTAATTCCGTGCTTTTAACCCGTTGGTTATTTATTTAACCGTTAAAAAAAATGCTTTTTTTTTCCGTTTCGTTGGCAATTCGTTTTGTTATAATTAATTTAATAATTTTTAAAATTAATAACAATAAAGCAATAAATTTCCATCCCCCGGTTTATTTTTTTTTCGGTAATTTTGTTTGGTTTAAATAGCATTACCGTAAAGGCTTTTTTAAAGCGTTTCGGAAAATAGCTTGTAATAATTGTTGCGTTAACGAATTTTGCGATAACGGTTGCGCCCGGCAATTCGGCGGCTTTAAATAGCCCGTTTGGAAAATAATTTTTGCTTGTAACTTTTTATGGTTTAGTACGGCCCGTTATTTCCATAATATTTTGCAAGGTAATAAATACGGGCATTTAAAAAGGGTTTGGGAAAAAATGGTTCGAAAAATTGGGTTTGCTAATATTAAATGTATTGGCTAACGGGTTTGGAAAAAATTTGGTTAATAAAATTTCGGCTTTTTTTAATAATTGCGTAACGAATTTGGGTTTTTTCCAATTTTAATTAAATTTAATAACCGGTTTGGGTTTTTTTTTAAAAGCTTTTTAAACGGGCCCATTTTTCGAATTTCCAAAATGCGCCGTTTTTTTTGGTATTTTATTCCGTTGCGGAAATAACGCTTTTTTAATAATTAAACATTATTTAATGTTTTTTTTAATAAATGTTTTATCCGTAACTTTATGCGTTTTTTATGCTATTTGCGTTTTGTTTTTGGTAAGTGCGCGTTATAAACGGTTTGCTTTTTTGCAAAGGTTATTAAATTTTTGTATTTAATAAAAAACGCGTTTGTTAAAAGGGTTTAATTTCCGTTAAAAAGCAAATTGGTTAGCAAATTTAATTAATTGTTGCATTAATTTATCCATTTTTTTATTTATGGTTTTAACGTTATGCATATTTCCGGTTGTTATTAATATATTGGCCATTTTAATTTTAAATTTTGCAAATTCGTTTATTAGCTTAACGTTTTTCCATTTTTAACTTTTGGTTTATCGAAATTAAAATTGCTACAATTTAATAAAAACGCAAAGTATTTGGGATAAATGGTTAAATTTTTTTATCGTATTATTTTATTTTAAATATTTTATATTAAATTATTGCATTATCCAAACGTAATTAATTGTGCTATTTCGTTTTTTTCGTTTTTATTTTGTAACCTTTTTGTAAAGCGTTGCTAATTTAAACCGTTTGCGGCGTGCTAATTTTAAAAAGGGTTTGCTTTTTGCGTTATATTTATTGTATAAATTCCAGGTTAAATAATAAAAGTTAAAATTGCTTGTAAAAATTGTATGCTATTAGGTTAAATAAATAGCAATTATGGTAAAAGGTATTGCTTAATTGGAATTTGCTTTAAAATTTGGTAAATATATTAAATATATTTTAAATGGGCTTTTTAACGTAATAATTGTAACTAAAGCCCAATCGTAACCGCACCGGGCGATTTATAATTTAAAAGCCAAACGGTTATGCACGTAAAGTGCTGCGTTAAAATTGGATTTTTAATAATAAATAAATTCGTAATTGCAATTATACGGTTTTAATAAATCCTTATGCTAATTGCGCTCCGGCTTTTGGATAATTATAATATTATATTGTTTGTTGCTATAAAAGGGAAAGTTGCTTTTTTTTTTTGCTTTTTTCCATATTTTAATATAATATATTTATTTTTATAAATTGTTATTATTATTAATTGGCTAGCTAAAAATAAACGTAATTCCGGTTGCAAAAAGGTCGAACGGAACCGGTATAAAGCCGGGCCGGGTCGGTTAAAATGCAAACGATTAAAATAAAGGTAAAGCAAAAGCTTTGTAATTCGGGGCAAAAATAAAATTGGTATTGGTAATTGCGAAATTGCTAAATATTATTAAGTTATTAATGGTTTAACTTTCGTTTATTCCTTTTATTTTTTTATTTTGCTAAAACCGAAAAAAGCAAAATTTGGGTTTGTAAAATATTGGTTTATCGTAAAAACGGGTTTGGAAAAGTTTAACGTTTTTTTGTTGCGGGATTTTCGTGGTTTGCTTACCCGTTTTTTAATTAAATTTTTATTTTTATTTTCGTTGTTTTTAATAAAAAGCCGTTTCGTTTGCGTTTTATTAGCAATTTTAAATTAAATAAATTGTTTTTTTCCTGCAACGTTTAAAAGGGGCCAGGCAAAAAGCGGATAAATGCGGAAAAAGGAAAGGTAAAAGCGGCCGGTTAATTTGTTTGGTTTGGTTAAAGTACGCGTTCGTTTTTTATTTTTAAAACAAATTGTTTCGGCCGGTTTAAAAACGCGTTTTTAGCCTTTTTAACCTTTTTTTTCGTTGCGGGGCACGCTTATCGAAAAGCCGGGTAATTGCTTCCGCAATTGCAACATTTCGGCTTGTTTTTTTTTGCAATAAATCGATCGTTATAAAACGGGCACAAAAGTTTTCCTTTTTTTGCCGTTATTATGCAACGGCCCGGCGCAATGCGGGCAACGGGTTGTTTTTTTGCAAAATTTCGATTTATATCCTTACTTATAACATTTATAGCATTAAACGGCTTTCGTTCCGGTTGCAAACGGTTTAACGTTAAAATTTTCGCTTTTAAATACCAAACCGTTATTGCATGCGGTTTAAATTACGGCGAAAAATATAATCCTGGCCAATACCGTAACGTACCTTTCCGGTTACCGAACGTTTTATATATAAATAAAATTAATTTTTATCCCAATATTTTGCGCTTTAAATTCGTATAGCAATTTATTATTATCGTTAGCGGCATTTTAACAAACGCTTTTAATTATAACGTTATAAATTCGGGTTTAGTATATTACTTTGTTACTAATATTTTAATAACCCACGCAATATTTTTTGTATATTTAATAACGGTTATATAAAATAAAATTATTACGTTATTATTAAAAAGTTTGCGGGTTGCTTTTACGTTATTGCCAAACTTTTTAATTAATGTAATAATAATTTTAACGGGTATGCAATTTGCAATTTCGGGGAAAACGTTTTTAATTAAAATTGTAATTTTGCGTTTAATGCGCGCGGAAATGTATTTCGGGAAAAAAGGGCCGGTATTGGGGTATGTATAAAAGCAAACCGTAAATGGGTAACCGCCGGTTTAACCGCTTTACGGTAAACCAATTACTAAAATTAAAGCGTAATTGGTAATTTATTTGCAAACGTTGCATATTTTAACAATAATTTCGTTTTTTATAATGTAAAAATAATTAAACATGCGGTTACAATAATTGCGGGTTTGCGTTTCGAACGCGTTTATTACGGCTTTAATTTATTCCTTTACAATTTTAAGCATTAATTTAATGCTACCGAAAGGTATAAAAGGCTTTAATGTTTTAATTAATTGGTTTTTTAAATTTGCAATGCTAATGCGCGTTGGGAAAGGGTCGGGGGCGTTGGTTATAATGGTATTATTGCTGGCTTTGGAGCGGTCGGTAACCGTTCCGCCGCTTACGGGGCTGTTAGCGCCGCTAGCAGCCGCGCCGAAAGCGCGTTCGCGCGCGGACATATGTTCGGTGGCAAACCGGGGGCGAGGAATTTGAATTTAATGTTAGATTTGCTGTATTTAATGGCGTTTTCCCGTTGCAAGGTTAGGGAAGCAAAAAGTTTTGTTATTAAAATATATATATATATATTTTAAAGCTACAATTTTTACCGCATTAATATTTTTTTGCCCAAAAAACGGGTACGGCATATTTAAATTGCTAGCAAAAAAAACAAATAATTAAGCCTTGGAAAAAGGTACATTTCCCGCAAAGCTAGCAAAATTTGCAAATTTATTCGATAAAAAAAAGCAACGGGCTTGCCATTTTGCAAAAGCTATTTAAACCATTACATTAAACTAAAGCTAAATTTACAAAAATACGCATTAATTTTTTTTTACGGTAAATTATACAACATGCCGCAAAACCAATTAATCAATTTAAAAAAATAAATCGTTAAATTTATAAATAAAAGTTAGGTACAAACAAACTTTTTACTAGCAATAGCATTAATATTTATAATAAATAAACCGGGAAAAAGGTAACGCTTAATCGTAAATTACAAAATTTTAAATAGCATTAGTTAATATAACCGTTACCTTTTCTTATTAATAAAAAAACATTGCAAAACGTTGCTAAAACGCGCTGGTTTATAAAAATAAACGTGCAAATAGCTTTTTACAAAATAAAAATAGCAAAAAGCTAAAAAATATTTAATAACGTTTGCAACCCGGTTCGGGTTATTTAAATGGTTTATATGCTTATTTAAATTTGCAAAAACATTTGCAACCTTTAAAAAATATATTAATAAAGTATTAACAAATATTTTGGGAAAATACGTAATTGCATATTTAAATAACGTGTTAATATATAAATATTAAATACGCGTTAAACTTATATAAATAAAATTTAAAAAGTACTGTAGCGCTTAAAAAGGCAAATTTAAATTTAAATTTATTTAAAAGCGCTTTTGCGGTAATAAAGGTAAAATATTTGGGTTACATTGTAAAAGCAAAAATAAAAATTTAAACGAACCCCGAAAAAATTTAAGCGATAAAAAAATAAAAAACGCCGCGAAAATTAAAAAGGTTGCGGGGATTTTTAAAATTTGCCAATTTTTATCGCAATTTTATCGATTAATATTTGGAAAAAGGGCGTTATTAATAATATTAACGAAAAAAGGCATTATTTTATTAAACGCTAAAAGTTAACGCGGCATTTAAAGCGATAAAATTGGCTTTTTTGCAAGCTTTAATGCTAGCATAATAAAACCCAAATTTAAAAACGCGCGTAAAAACGGATTGTTCCGGAAAAGCATTTAAGGGCTGCTTATTCCAGCAAAAAAAAAAAACTGTAACGCCCGGTAGCTTTTTATTTAGCTAAATTAGCAAAAGCGCAAAGGATTACATTATTTATAATAAAAAGTTATTAACAGTTATAACATATTTTAAAGCGTAAAAAGCAAAATTACGGAACGTACAAACCCCGTTTTTTATTTTTACAAACCATAAAATTTTAAAACATTTTTTAAAATTTTAAATTGTTATTAAAAAATAAGCAAAATGGGCGGAAACGTTATTTCGATTTAAATATAATTTGCAATACAAACCAAAAAAGCATATAACCATTTCGAACGTATTAATTAAACAGGACCAAAACGAATTGGGTTTATTTCGAAAAGTTACGTTTTTTTAACCCGGTATTACCTTATAAGGTTAACAATTATAAAAAGCCAAAAAAAACCCCAAAAAGGCCCGGATAAAAACGCAAACGGATTTAAAAAAGGATTTAAAAAAATATAAAATTAAAAAAGCAACAAACAAACAACGCTTTAACGGGAAATTAATTATTTAAAAGTTAAAAATTAACAATATTATAAAATATAGCAATCGAAAACGATAAAATACATTATTACAAACGCCGGGCAATAAAACAAAATGCGAAACGGTTTTTTTTTAAACGCCGAAACGAAAGTATAAATTGCGGATTGCTTTTTATTAATAAACGGGGCATTTTAATTTAAAAAACGTTTTTAATTCCCAAATTAAAAACCATTTATTACGGCCAAATTGCAAAAAGTTTACGCATTGTTAATAATAAAATACGCAAGTAAAAATAACATTTACAAAATTTTGCAACGGGAATATTATTGGGATGGGATGGCTAAAAATACGGCCCGGCTTGTACAAAATTGCGATATATGCCGCGAATTACGCCCGTTACGATAATATAAATAAAATTTGCTATAGCCTTTACCGGTGCTAAACCGATTTTAAAAGCAAATATTAATGGATTTTATAATTGGCCTCCCGGTTTAAAAAGAAAGGGCATCGATATATTTAATGGTAATTACTAATAAATTGTCCAAATACGTGCAATTAAAGCTTATAACGTCCATAACATCCGAAGCATAGCGCTTAAGATAAATGCGTTGCTAAAGGAATCGGCGGCAAAATCGCTACCCGCGGCAAAAGCGGGACCGAAAAAGAAACGGCGTGTTTTTTGCTAACGCGCTTCCTTTAGTTACGCTTGCTAATATCGGTGCAATTCGTAAAAAGCTTGGGTAAAAACCGTGTTTTTGCGGTTAATGCTAAAACCCGAAATGCTAGCTTGGGCAAAGCGCGTAGCGGTAACAATGTGGTTGCCGTTAGCTATTGCAAAAGTAAACGCTTTGTTAGCGCGCCGAAACCGCGAATTGGCAATATAAAAAGCGTTATAACGTTTGCAAATGCTTTTGCTTTTGTAATAAAAATTGCACAACGTAACCGCAATAAACGAAATATAATTCCAAATGCTAAAGGTTTTGCATATTTAGCAATAACGGTTAGCAAAATACAAAAATTTAAAACGATTCCAACGCAGTTTACGTTAATGCAATAAATATAAAAAAATTAAATAAAACGGGGGATTGCAACGTTTTCCTTATTAAAATTGCTTATAAAGCGCCGGGTTTTTTTTAAAAAAGGATTTTTTCCGAATTCCCGAAAAAAAAGATAAAGGGTTTTTGCAACGGTAAATATAATAAAATTAAAAAATAAAAAAAAGCAATAAAAACATCGTAAAAAGAAATATTGGTACGGGAATAAATAAAAAAAATAATTAATAAGTTACAATTAAAACGCGGAACGGAAAAAACAGGAAAAAAAGGGGGGAAAACCAAAAAAAAAATAACGAAAATTATTGCGGTAACGTAAGGTTTTTACGCAAAATACGAAAAGGTAAGCACGAAAAACGAAAACGGCAACGGGTTAAAAAAAAGGAATAAGCGCGCGGTACTTTTAAAAAAAACCAAACTAACAACAAAAAAACATAAAGAAACAGGCCATAACGGGTTACGAAAAAGGTCGGGAAATACCCAATACGGCCCCGAAAAAAAACATAATTAACATATAAAAAATAAAGCTATTACGACCCGTCCGGCGAAAAAAAGGGAAAAAAAAAAGAAAAAAGCTATGCTATGGATCCGTGCTGGGTACGAATTACGTAACTTAAAAGGTGCCTTTTTGGGCCAGGATTTATGTATATAAAAACTACCCCAACTTTTTTAAAAACAAAAATACAACCTTTTTTTCCTTCCTTTTTATTTCGTAAAATAACACTATTTCGGCACCTGCCGGGCATTGCTTAGTGGTTTAACTTATTACATATTGTGCATTCTTGTGTTAAGCATAAGGTGGAAGAACCTTTGGCCTCGAAAGGCAAGGTTGGGAATTAAGTTACAATTAAGTTATTAAGTTATTTTTTAAGTTAAACTTTGCAATAAAATTTAAAATCAACAAAAATAAGTAAAACGTTTATTTCTTCGTATTTATATAAACAAATAGCAAAAGAAAATATAGTATAAATTTATATTACTTAAAAATGGTATATAAGGTGGTAAAAATGCATTAAGTTACAATTAGTTAAAAGAAAAGTTAAAAATAACTTAAAAAAACAACTTAATTCAAATTACGTAATATATAATAACGTAATTAAATATTTTAAATATTATTTATATAAAACTGAGTTTTCTGTACTTAATGGTGGTATTTTTATACTTATAACTATAATAGTTAATTTAATATTAAGCTTTAAACTGTAACTTTTTACTAATTTAACGAGTAACTTAAATGACTTAGTTCCCAACCCTGCCGAAAGGGCGCTAAAGGTAAGGTTTATATATAAAGGTTAAGGGCCGTGCTTTTAAGCTTGGCTTTGGGGCTAAGCCACGGGCACAAGCCACGCGCTTAAGCTAAAAGCCCAAGCCATAAGGTTTACAAAGGCCCAAGCTTTATAATTAAATCTTCCTTTGGCCCAAAACAAGAAAACCCATCCTTATTGCATGCGCCGGAATATCGATCCGACAGTTTTACTTACTTTTGTTAATTTTATATTTTATTGCAAAGTTTAACTTAAAAAACAACTTAATAACTTAATTGCAACTTAATTCCCAACGCTGCCTTTTGCTAATGCGCCGGGAAATTATCGCAAAAACGTTGCAAACCCTTTTAAAATATTAAAATTTAAAAAGCCCGAACCCAATAAAAATCCTTACCGGGGGGTTATTAATAATAAGCCCGGTACTTTTCGCAGCATTAATTAAAGCATTTATAACGTGCGTAAATTGCGAATACTTTCCGGAAAGGTTTTGGAAATTCCGTATCGTTATATTCCAAAAACTTAATAAAAACCTAGGCATTTTAAAAGCGTAACGGTTTATTGTTTTATTAAAAACGATAAAAAAGGTATTAAATTCTTTTTTACGTTTCGGATTAAAAACGTTGCGGAAAAGTATTAATTATTTCCCGATAAATAAATGGGTAACTAATAATGCAAATTTACGAAAACAGCTATGCGTTTGCTTACGGAAATAATAAATACGGTATAAAATGCAAAAGCAATAATTAACTTTTTATTCCTGGATATAAATAGCGCTTTTAATACCGTTTCGTACGTACGTTTTTTTAACGAAATAAAAAAAATTCGGTTTTTACAATAAGTGCTAAACCTTTTAAAAAGCTTTTTAAGCAATTGGAAAATAACGTTACATTTTAACGGGAAGGATACGGCAAAAAGCCGGGTACCGTACGGCGTTTTGCAAAAATTCCCATTTTGCTTATTTTTTTATCATTTATACGGTAAGCTTGTACAAAAAATTGCGGAAAGTAAAAGGAATAGCGGTAACGGGCTTTACGAATAATATTAATTTTATTAATTTTAACCGCAATGCAATAAACGC